AATCATTTTTTTGACCTAATTGATTCCATTCGTGTCTTATTTTGATCTGGCCCAATCCTTTGGCCGATTCACTGTTCATGATCCATACGCTTTGTGTAGATCCAATTTTCTTTGGCTTTAATATTGCATCCGAGTCTCCAATTGCATCTTCATTCAGTGTTCAATTCGATACTCCCTTGCTTGTCAAAATTAACTAATCGATGATTGACCGATGATATCGTTTGTAAGCGTTTGAATATCGATTGGCTTAATCGACCCATCTGTAAAAGACGCATCTTGAATTCGTTACTCCTTTATTCTTTATTCATCATTTTTTTTTCAGTTCTTATTGATTGACTTGATTTCATTTTTTTCTTCAAATTACTAATGATTCATAAATGAAATCGATCTGTGGTGTATTGACTTGGTGTTGGTTGAATGCAATTTTTGAAGTCATATGATACACTGCGTTGAATCTCAATTTGAATTGTCAATCAGAAAAGTCAAAATTGAGTTAAATGATCGAGGGTAGTTGGTGCGATGCTATGAAGATAGTCGGAACATAGGCTATCGGAGCGCTGGTATCTTAATTGGTTGTCTTGCTGATTGGAATAATACATTCGCAGTTTGATGATCCCTGATAAAATCAAATTGTGGTGTGCTTCATGTTCTTTTGGTTCGTAATAAAATGGGTCTTGCAATCATGGTTTTAGTCAAAATCGAAAGTATGATGCGAACGTATGAAATCGTGTTTGGGATTTAACTGGGTTGATTTAAGGTTGTTCTTGATGGTCAAAATTGAAAAGGTCAAAATTGGAATTATTGATCTGTGAAGGGTGTAATCGGATTTGAAGTACAGGTATCGGAAGCGCATCTTTCATCTGTCATTGGAATCGGATTTCATGGTTAAAATTGTGAGCTTACCTGTGAACGTTGGTTGTTCGCGACTCGCAACGAACTTGTGTTCGAATACGTTTCAACAACCTATGAATGAAATCGGGACTCAATCGGGAAGAACTTAAGTCATATGAAAGTCAAAATTAAACTATTAGGACTTGAGTTCGCTTTTGTATCATGGGATTTGGTATGTACCTGGATCGATCTTGAGTTCGGTTGGTAGCTCTTGGAATAAACCTCGATCTTGGGTTCGCGTGTTTATGCTGGGACTGAAATTGGAGATGAACCGAAAGCGAACCTGTGATTCGGCTTGGCTAAGGTTTCGCTCCTTATTCTAATCGTGATGCTCGGTTTTGCTTTTGTATCAATGAAACTGGGTTTGGTTGTTAATGGTTGGAGAAAACGAAGGATGAACCGAAAGCGAAAGGAGTTTCGCCTGATATGGAAATAAGAAACGAACCGAACGTTCGGTTGTGTTCGCGTGAATAAATGGCGGTCTTGAAACGAACTTAGGTTCGGTTGCTTGTACTTGAAACGAAAGTATGATCTGTAGCATTTGTTCCAGTCGCGCATTTCTTTTATCAGTCATATATATTGGGGAAGAAAACTTAATGTTTCATTTTTGGTCCCTGAAACTTCAGCGAATTGGCTCTTTTGGTCCCTGTTGTTTTCACAGTTTGGTATTTTTGGACCATTTCCAGTTTTTGTTACAAATGAAGGGGTGTATTGATGCAAAAATTCCATTCCAGCCCCTGTCTTTTAGCAAGTGACAGTTTCTGCCCAATATTAAGAAAAGTTTACTACCTTGAGGGCCGGTGAACAGTTTTGGTTTTTCAACGCTCATATTTTTTCATGAACAGCAAAATAATGATTCCATCAAGTCTTGGCGGTTCGGAAGGTCGTTTTTCGTGATATCATCAAATTTTTCACGACTTTTTCGGATTTCATACTTCATTGTGTATATCGTTTTGTCGCGGGGGAGCTTAGTAATTTTTTATCCATTCAAGATCATTCTCATGACCATTTGAAGGCTTTATAATCATGTTTTTGATTATAAATCGGGGGAGAATTTGGTATGGCCATTCGAAATTGGATTTGTGACTTTTCATAGTTGAAGATTTTTGATAAAGCTTGTGGGAGAATTATGAAGGTAGCTTTTACAACAGAAGTTCTTCATCGAGCTCTACTAAGGTTTTTACAGAGAAGTATCATTTACAGCAGAAGTTCTTCATCGAGCTCTGCTAAGGACTTGTTATATCTCCGACTTCTTGTATTTTCTCGATCAAGTGGCGTTACGAATCTTAAAGTTTGGGTTGTTACATCATATTTTTTGATGGCTTATATCATTAGCTTATTTGAAGATCATTGTGACTTGGAGGGGGAGCTCTTCAAAGACAAGAAGTGATTCGGTCTCTTTGTTCTGAAATGGGTTTTTATGGCGGGTTTGGTTTTCATGAAGATTCTTTGGGATTACATTCGAAAATGAAGTTTAAAGACATTACTTCAGTGCTTGATTTATATATCCTAGAGCCCGTGTTTGAAGACTATTGAAGAATCAAGATTCGTGGATTGCTTCATATATTCCTCGTTGCAGATCTTTTTATTTGCTAGATGCTTGTTTTGGAAGTTAAAGCATTGTCATCCATTCCATACTTTGAGGGGGAGATTGTAGGGTTTCAAAGCACTCCATGGATGATGGCAATGGGCCCCTTTGATGAATTCTAGGTTAAAAGCCCAAGACTTGTCTTTTCCCTATAAATAGTCATGTATTATTCACAATTAGGGTTAAGAGAGTGAGGCAAAATGTAGCCGCCACGTGAGGTTTCTTGTAGAGTTAGATTCTTATTTCTTTAAGTGTAATTTATTCCTCATATTTCAATAAATCGTGTGATCATTCGACATAATCTTCATTATTGTGTTTGTTCTTATTTTCCGCATCTTGTTCATCAAATCACAATTAGGGTTTTCATCCCAACATGATGAAATTAATAAATTTATTTATTTGTGGGTTGAAAACCCTATATGCTCATCAGGCTCCCAAGTCCGACCCACTCAGTTTTTTTGTATTATAGGTAGTGGACCCCGAGCGTAGTTTGGACGTTGAAGAGGGATTTTTGAATTATAAGCCAATAGCTGAAGATATTTGTTGTAAGGCTTATAATTTACTGTTTATGCTTTTGGTCTGTTTCAGAACATGACATCCCGAGGTTTTTGATATATAATGAAAATATTTATTACTTTAAGAAATGTTTGGTTAAATTTTTATTATATTCTTTTTTGGAACAAATTCCACAACATCTTCTGGAAAATTACTCTGATTTTATTTTAAAAGCATAAACTATATCGGTTTTTTCTGGCCCAGAAAATTAGGGATGTCATATATATCGCGCTGGGTTGCTCGGTAAGCAGTGATAATTTTTTCAAACAAATATAACATATGAATCCTAATTGGTATTTGTTAATGCAATCAAAAATAAATGTTGGTAAGCGTTCATCAAATATTGTAGGCCGACCCTAATAATTGATGGTGCTCAGCTAAAGGGTGAATTTAAGGGCATGATGTTGCTTGCAGTGACAATGGACGGTCAAAACGAAATCATGCCTATTGCTTATGCCATCTGTAAAAGTGAATGTATAGAGACATGATCCTTGTTCCTTCGAAAACTATGTGAATGTATAGTCAATCTGGAGGACCTTACATTCATATCTGATAGGGCTCCATCCATAGCGACATCAATTGCAAATATATTTCCTCACACCCATCATGGAATATGTGGTATCCATTTGTATTTCAACATTTGAGCAAAGTTTTGAAGCAGTGATACAATACACACATTATTTTAGGAGACATGCAAAGTCTATACTATTAGAAAATTCGATAATTGATGAAAAAAATTAAAAAGGTAAATGTTGGTGTACAGGAATACCTACAAAACATCAATCCAGAAAGATGGGTCAGGGCACATTTTCTTGGGAATCGGTATTTTTCTATGACATTAAATAGTGTGGAGTTGATAAATTTATACATTCAAAAAGAACACTCATCCCATGGGCTGAAACGATTATACATGCAAATAAGAATGCTTGTAATAATTGGATGGTGTACCCTATCTCAAATAGTGGATTTGAAGTGAAAAGCTCTGCTCACAAAAGTATCATTGTTGATTTCAGCAAAGAACCTTTACATGTAGGCAGTGGCAAATAGATGTCTTACCTTGTTGCCATGTCATAAAAGTGCTCATAATGAACCATTACGAACACTGTTCGGAATTTGCTTTAAACGCTTACTTTACAGAGACACTGAGGAAAACTTATGAGGAGTATATGAACCCTTTTCCAAGTCCATCTGAATGGGAGATCCCTAATGATTTGATAATTATGAAGCCACCCATAATGGAGAGACGTCAGCCATGTAGGCCAAGAACCACTATATGTATTCCGTCGCAAGGTGAGCATCCCATACGACAAGAATGTTCTACATGCGGTCAATTTGGACTCACGATGAATGATTGTACAGGTAGGGGTTCATGGAACGGATATGGGGGAGGAAAAAATCGACACAAAAGGGCATAATGACTGATGAATTGGCATCCGTAAGAGAGTCACAGAACGAAAGTGTGTACTGTACTTTTGATTTCCACAACACATTTGATTTAAAATGTCTTTAGATTAATGTAGGAAAGTAATGAATTCCCTTATTTGTAATTTGTATTGCATGTATTAAACTGCACTTCTGACATTATTAATTAAATCTAGTACCCCATTTATTATCTACTTTATTCCATGAAAAATAAAACATAAAACATTATAGAAAACGAGATACTCCAGTAGCAAACATTACATAAGACATTTCACATATAAGAGTCTTCTACATGAAATATTTGTTATTTTTAACTAGAATCCAATCATCCTCATACTAAAAGTCACTTCCCTCGTGGTCGAAAATGTAATGATCTTTAACAATTTCTAAAAGATCTTCCTCGTTGTTTGTATAACGATAACTATTTTTAAGATGATGATACCATTGATTAAACCTAGTATTTTATTAAAAATATTAAATTGACAAATACCTATTCCATTGATCCAAGTTCTCCACCACCCAAAAAAATTCCATGGTGACTTTATCATTGGGCTCTTTTTCCCAAAAAACGTTGATTGAGAATAAATAGCAAAATGGCATGGACACCGTTGTGAGCCGATATATCATTGAACCGCTGATTCATAATAAGGAGCTCTAAATCTTCTACAAGTAAACTAGTGTCCCTTTGATATGGGAAGATTCTTGACCGACATGTAATTTCACCATATGCGTGTTTATACATATTAGAAAATTCGATCCTTGATCTGGGACACCGGCCCATGCTAAGTCCGGACACAATACAAAACTCCTCGGGCCCAAATGATAATGTATGTTTAGAAAACCTAAAATGTAGATGCTCAGCTGCGTCTGTTTCAGTAGTAGGGCGCAACATATGCAGTAACAACCCATGAATAAGAATTTCGTCTCCGGACTGAGCTGGTAGGTTGTAACAACGTAAAATTTGAACCAAATTTTTAAATTTCAAAAAAACATTAATTTTAACAATTATCCGTAAAATGCCACAATGTCAATTTCCCAAATTCAGGTTCAAAAGAAAACAATGTATAAAACTCCAAGATCCTCTAAACATGAAACAATCTCCGATGTGTGTGTTCACTCAAGCCGGCGCCTTCCCGTGATCATGAGAAGTACCAGGAACACATAACACATAACAAGATAAATGTGTCAATGGAACCCTCCGGTCCCAGCTCAGTAACTCATAGCAGCAATATTCAGCATAAATGTAATGCCCGGGTTTCGGGGCAAAGCATTTTTAGACGATGTAATACTCTAGGTTAACTATTGTAACTCTTTTTAATATAATAAAGATGAAATATTTTAATTCTATATGAATTATGTGTATTTGTGTGCTTATTACTTTATTATAAATATATATTTAATAAAGAATAAAAATAAGCGTCAAAATTAAAGTATGAGATTAGTCCTATATCTTTACATAAAGTTGTAGTGGTCGAAACAAGGATTCCGGGGATATAAGGAATGCTAAAATCCGAGTTATAACGAAGAAGTTATGGCCCGCCGAAGTTTTACGGCAAAACCTACACGGCACCGGGAGACGCAAATAGTGAATTTTCGATGGAGGACTTTTTAGCCTTAGTGATCTAAATGAAAGTCGTAGAATATGTTAAACCGAGAAAATCCATAAAAAGAACACCCAAATCTGACTTCGTATGAAGAAGTTATGATTTTTCTAAGATTCAGCTTAGCAGTGCACGACCCGAAACTCGAATTTTAGTTCGAGCGGTTTTTGGCTTACGCGACCTAAATGAGAGTTGAAGATCTCATTAATAGGAAATCAACTGTAAAAAGACAGATGAAAACAGAGTCCGTATGTAGAAGTTATGAATTTTACGCGAGTGTTTAAAAGTATAATCTCCTTGTACTGTTAAATTTAAGATCGGTAGATAATTAGCTGACAGAGACAAAATGAAATTTGTAGATCTTATTATTACATATGCGTGGATATAAAGAATGTAAAAAATGGAGGTCGTATGTGAAAGTTATAGATTTTAGATGTCGGAAGTGTGTTGTGCGAAAATGGGTGATGTGACACAATCTTGGCCATTGCTTTCTCTCCAAGGCTTTCCACCAGATGGTGACATGTGGCACCAAGTTCAGCCACATTTCACCCTATAAATACCACCTCTCCCACCCTCATTTTCTTCACACCTTTCCCATTCTTTCTTCTCTTTACTCTCTCTCTCTCTAGAACCTCTCTCTAGCCCTGAAATCCCCCGAAAAGCCTAGGGAACCTCCCTAGCACGAGGTGGAAGCCTCAGAGTGCTCGGCGGCTCCGAGAAGAAGAGCTTTTCGGCTCGGGAACACTGCTCCAAGCAAAGCCCGATTTTCTATAAAACCCGCTGTAAGTGAGCTATGCATACGCTATTTTTAATATAGCTTTTATTTAATTATAGTAACGCTATTAGGAACTTATAATAAATACTTGGGCTATTATTATGGGTTATATAAGTATTTTTTTTAACGCTTTTATAATAGTAATACTAGCTAGACTATTAATTAGTCGCGGCGAATAATAGACTAAACTCTAGTGGTAATAATAGTAGGTTTCGTCGAAGGAAATTATTTTTAACAAGCGAATCGCTGTCTGAGTTCGGAATCACCACCTTTTTAGGTGAGTGCATAGTTATTTTCAGCTTACACATAGATATGAAGTATTTTATATAAATTACGTGCTACGTATGCATATTATCTGAATACTTGCTATCTATACTGGATGAACGGTTTTATACATGTTTTCAATGATTTAAACTATATATGTATTTTATATCTACGAAAATGTTGGGGTAAAACATGGGTAGATGTAATAGGTGATGTGTGATAAAATGATGAGAGGCCTCGATGTTATTGTTGTTGATCCAGTCATCTAGCGGAGTATAGATGACGACCACGGACTCTTCTAGACAGTCTAGTGGAACACTAGCAGGCTCGCAACCTGTAGGTGTTTGTGAACGATGTGTTCACCGATGTACACCATCCCCCACATGGTTGCCTTTAGGACATTTATTGCTAAGGAACCCCCTTAGCAGTGGTGTCCATCCCGATGATGATCCTTAGGCTAGGTCCCTTATGATAGGTGTTCAGGGACGTAGAGTGAGGATAACGGAACGGGTAATCGGGTTATTGTTGATTGATGAAATTAATAAACTTATTTATTGTGGGTTGAAAACCCTATGCGCTCACCAGGCTCCCAAGCCTGACCCACTCAGTTTCTTTTATTACAGGTAGTGGCGCATGAGCATAGATGTGATGTTTTGGATGAGGGATTATGGATATAGGCCTGTAGATATGAAATAATGTAGTAAGGCTTATATTGTATTGTTTATACTTATGTATTGTATCGAACATGACATCCCGAGTCTTTTAATGAAATACATTTATAAGGAAATGCTTTTGATAACTCTTTATCATATTATTGTTTTGGGACAAATTTTGCAACTCTTTTATTAAAAGGTTACTATGATTTTGAAATAAAGTATAAACAAAATCGGTCTTTTCTAGCCGTGATTTTGGGGATGTCATAGTTGGTATCAAAGCATTAGTTTAAGCGAACTAGGAATTTGTAGGATTTCTAGACTTAAACTTAGAATGGTAAGCGATGATTGTGAGGTGTGAGCACTAGCTTATTTAAGGAATTGTGCCTAAAATGCTTTTATGTGATAAATGTTTTGTGCCTGATATGCTGTTAATTGTTCGGATCTATGGTCTGTTGCCGACCGGATCTGGAAACCTTATGTGTTTAGGATTCTAAACGTACGACTACGATATTAGAACTAGCATGTAAACGTTTCGGAGAGATAAGGATGATTTGAACATCAGTCCTAAATAAAGATCTAAATTCACTTATTCGGTGTATAGATCAAGATGACAAGGACCCGTAGCAGAAACGTGATTGCAAATGGGAGCAAAAACCAACCCCCAGTAATCGAGAAAATATCAATTGTGGATGCCGCTGCTGGGCCAATAACGATAGCCGGAGTGCAAGCGATGATCTAGGCAATGTTGGATCCTCAAATGGAGGAAACCAGGCATTTGCTCCAGCAAAATAGAGAGGAAGCGACCATACAGATCGAACAGCCCGAGTTGAATGAAGGGCAGACTGAGGAAGGAAACTACAGTGGGACTGTTGGTCAAGCCAACCCACCGATAGTTAGGCAAAACCACAAGGATGGAGGAAATGACAGACGTGGATGAAAATACAAGATTTTTTCATGGCATCCAAACCACCGAGTCTATCTGGAAGCCCGACGCCGGTGGAAGTCATGAACTGGATCTATGAGATAGAGACGATGTTTGAGAGTTGCGAGTGTAGCAACAGGCAGAAGACCGCTCTCGCGGTTCCTCTGTTGAAATCTAGAGTACTAAGTAGGTGGAAGCTATTAGCTGATTCAATGCCCAAAGGTGAAGCAAGCAAGATGTCGTGGGACGATTTTCTGGTATAGTTGAAGATACAATACTGCTCTGAGCAGGATCTTCTGGAGATCAACAACGAGTTCCAGAATCTGAAGAAGGGAAGATTGAGTGTTACTGAATACGCTGCAAGCTTTACTGAGAAAATGAAGCTTGTTCCTCACCTCATCCCAACTGAACTCTCCAAGGTTAACAAATTTTCCCTCGGATTACCAGCGGACTTCGGTTCAATGGTCAAGCAAACTACCACTCTGAAAGCCGCCATCTGGGTTGCTAAGAATGTAGAGACCCAGATACGAGAGAAAGTTCTGGAGAGAGCGGAAGTGGGAGAGAAAATGAAATTTGACGGATCCTCGAGGTCCGGTAAGAAAGGGTAGATTCTTGAAGTCTGGTTCGAGAGGAAGAGGATTAGAAGCGAAGTGGTGTGACAAGTGCAAGAAAAAGCACTCTAGGAAGTGTGAGAGAGGGGTCACTTGTTTCAAATTTGGAACGCCTGGGCACTATGCAAACGAATGCACGTTCACTAAGAAGGTCTGTTATGAGTGCAACAAGGAGGGGCACATTTCAAAGGATTGCCCAAAAAAGAAAGAGGCAGGAAGACCCAACATACCACCAAAGATAAGGGCGAGAGCCTTCCAAATGATGCTCGAGGCTACAAAGGAGGCGATTGATGTCGCTTCAGGTACCTTTCTTGTAAATGGTTTTCCTGCAAATATACTATTTGATTCCAGAGCCAGCTACTCCTTTGTATCGCATAAATTTGGTGGGAAATTAGCATTTCCTGTAGAAAAACTTGATAATGCCTTGATTGTAGAAGTTGCCAGTGGCAAATTCATACCGGTTAGTAATCATATTAGGAACATCGTCATCGACCTAAATGGAAACGTATTCCACGAAGAACTATTACCCATATAGTTAAACGGTTTCGACATTGTTTTTGGTATGGATTGGCTTAGCGCCAACGATGCCGAGATATTATGCCGAAAGAAGATAGTAAGGGTAAACCCACTTGGAAAGGAATCATTTATGGTGTACGGGGACAAACTCAGAGTGAATTATGGAATCATCTCCCTGATGAAAGCTAGGAAATGTTTGTCCAAAGGATGTGCATCATACTTGGCATTCATAATCGATGCTAAGAAGGAAAAGAAAGAGGTGCAAAATATACCAGTTGTGTGCGATTATCCGGAGATCTTTCCCGAAGATCCTCCCGGATTACCACCTGATAGGCAAGTGGAGTTTCGGATAGACTTGTTACCAGGTACAACACCGATAGCAAAAGCACCTTACCGATTAGCAACAACAGAGATGAAGGAGCTTATGACGCAACTTCAGGAGCTGTTGGATAACGGTTTCATTCAACCTAGTTCATCACCTTGGGGAGCTCCGGTGTTATTCGTGAAGAAGAAGGACGGAAGCATGAGGATGTGCATAGACTACCGA